AAGGAGACCAGTATGAAAGAAGAAATGTCCTGTAAAATTAAGAGACTTTGTGGAATTTTAATTTTGTGTTTGTAAATTCTGTATATTTAATTAAGTTATTGTTAATTATTTAATGGTTTAATGTAAGTGGCTATTGTTCGGAAGTCACGTGATGCTGCTAGCGCATGCGTGACTGAGTTTCTTGAATTATCAGGGAAGCTCGAGTGTGATCGAGACACCTCTTTGTTAGTATATAAGCCTGGCAAGAAAAGCCAGCAGGATTAAATGTATGATAAAGTGAACAGTAGTCATGGTGTGTTTGGGCTAGTGTGTGTTTTGCACTCGTAGAGAGTGAACTTATCGAGATTGTGAATCGCTGTGATTTATAGCATGTATTATAAAAGTTGTTAAGTTTAAAGTGATGAGAAACGTATTTAACAGTGGGAATTACTGTGTACTACTTACTAATGTACTACGAAACAAGCAGGTACATAACAATCCTTGTTTTCCTAATTTTGAAGTGATAGACTAGAGAAGACAGCTAGTTAACACCACCAACTACTAAAACTTAGGATTGTCTTATTGAACTAAATAGTAGAATTTACTTGCCACTCTTACAGTGTGGAGCACAAATAACAGGATATGAAGTTGGAAGGTATCAAAGAAACAATACCTGGTTGTTAGTGTGTGATCTCAGCAACAATGTGATGGTGAAATCTTTCCTGAACTATATAACATAGTTTGTTGTCACTGAAGTTAGGAGGTAACAAACAAGCAATACCTAGTTGTTAGTGTGTGATCTCTAAAATGGTGAAATCTGTCCTGTACTATAATATATTGTATCTTAGGTGAAGTTAGGAGGTATAGAGAAGCAATACCTGGTTGTTAGTGTGTGATCTCAGCAACAATGCGGTGGTGAAATCTTTCCTGAGCTATATAACATTTTATTGTGGCTGACATTAGGAGGTAACAAACAAGCAATAGCTGGTTGTTAATGTGTGATCTCAGCAACAAAGTGATGTTGAACTCTGTTCTGAGCTATAATATATTGTATCTTAGGTGAAGTTAGGAGGTATAGAGTAGCAATATCTGGTTGTTAGTGTGTAATCTCTGTGATGGTGAAAGCTTTCCCAAATTATGATATATTTTATTGTAGCTGAAAGACACTTACTGTAAGACTATACAAAGGAGACTGTATAACTTGTTTCTTACCAGTGCACAAGATATTCGTCCTCCTAACCTGGCCTTCCAACCCCGATAAATTCTTTCTCTAGTAGCTCCAGTTGCCAAACATCCCACAAGCAACAGAAACAAACTGAGTACACCCATCACTCCTCCAATAACGATGAATATGATTCGAAGATCTGTCAACCTAAAAGAAATTACAATTATGTAAAGTATTTTAACTGCATCTACATCATTATAGTTTTTTGTTTATCATACTTGCAAGTATTTTCAAACAATTCTGATAGATCACTGAACTGATTTAATGATTTACCTACATTCATAATAGAAGTGGGTGATTAACTTGATTACATTAATCTAAAATAGTGGATTAAACAAAATGTTGATTAGATTAATTAATGTAATAAAAACAATTAACCAATCATTATTAGTTTTTTGATTATTCTAACTATCCAAGTAATTGAAACATTTCCATCATGATTTTTCATTAATTCTAGGTTATTTAGCCTAATCGATTATTCTTACAATACAAGAAAATAATAAATTAATCAAAATCAGTTTCAGATTATTTCTATTTCCATTACTACATCTATCCAAGTATTGATAAAGTGGCTGTACTGGATAAACTATACAAACTATGAGTATTGATAAAGTGGCTGAATTGGATAACCTATTACGTATCTGCTTGTTTGTTAATTTCCGGTAGAAATTCTTTCTGAGGAACTTCAGCGATACAAGTTCTTTCTTGATTAAACCAGTTTATTCTTCCTCGATACAACTTTAATACACAGTAATCCTACAGTCAATACGTTTCTTGTTACTTTCAACTTAACGACTTTTATAATACACACTATAAATCACAGCGATTCACAATCTCGATAACTTAACTCTCTACGAGTACAAAACACACACTTTATTATTATCCTAAAAAGTAAGTACTGTTCGCTTCTTTAATTATCTATCTATTGCTGGCTTCTCTGCCAGGCTTATATACTAATGAAGGGGGCATCTCAAATACACTCGGGCTTCCCCGATCACTCATGATCATTTAAGAAATTTCACGCATGCTACCAGTGCCAAACGCACCAGCAGCGTCACATGACTTACGCTGTCGTAACAACCTATACAAACTATGAGTATTGATAAAGTGGCTTTATTGGATAACCTATACAAACTATTAGTAATGTTAAAGTGGTTGTATTGGATAAACTATACAAAGCCACTTTAACATTACTCATAGTGTATTGGATAAACTATACAAAATATCAGTGTTGATAAAGTGCCTGTATTGGATAAACTATCCAAAATATCAGTATTGATAAAGTGTCTGTATTGGATAAACTATCCAAAATATCAGTATTGATAAAGTGGCTGTATTGGATAAACTATCCAAAATATCAGTATTGATAAAGTGGCTGTATTGGATAAACTATCCAAAATATCAGTATTGATAAAGTGTCTGTATTGGATAAACTATCACAACTGATAAAGTGGCTGTATTGGATAAACTATACAAACTATCAGTATTGATAATTTAATGTAATTATTCTTCCAGACAAAATCAAATTCATTTAATAATGAATACAAAATTAATTATTTAAAAGTGTACAGTATTTATTGTGCTGTGTACACACTGCACAACAAATAAAAAAACATATTTCATTATTTAATCTGATGTGATAAAGTAGGTGTACAGTGTCTTACATGTGTATACACTGTACAAATACACACACACATTGTTATGATAAAGTAGGTACAGTGTTCTACATGTGTATACACTGTACAAATACACACACACATTGTTATGATAAAGTAGGTAGTGTTCTACATGTGTATACACTGTACAAATAGACACACATTGTTGTGATAAAGTAGGTAGTGTTCTATATGTGTATACACTACAAACAAACACACATATTTCATTATTTAACCTGTTGTGATAAAGTAGATGTACAATGTTCTACATGTGGATACACTGCAAATTTTATATCTCACACTTCTGATTAACTTTTAGACAAAGAATACAGTTCAAATCCAAGACATTATATTATGTGGTTAGAGTGCATATTTTACAGATATAATTCAATTAGAAAGCTGTTTTTATGTGCCAAATATTCACATCTGATGATTTAGAAGTACACATTTAATTATGCTGTTCTGTTCTAGAGGATGTATGTATACCACAAAAGATATTTTTAGTGAAGTTATGAAAACTTTTACTGTTTAAGACTACTCAGAAAATGAAACCTACAAAAAAACTGAAGGAACCTGAAACAAAAAAATCATGTGATTTTAACACTTTATTAAAAAGTCCTGTAGTAAAGTGTGTTTCCAGCTGGTTAGTATCAGTTAAAATGTTACTGTTTCAGCCTTATTTAACAACCACTGTTTTAAATTCCTTCTGTACTTTACTATAAGTTTATAACAAAATAGGAATATATTTCCCAGATACAGAAGAAATACATCATGAAAGATAACTATAAAATATCACAGATCTAATATACAATACCAAATATTTATTTTATATTACAGATTAAGAGATTATGACAAAAATATAGTAATTAAAATTCTCCCTTTCAAAAACCTTAAGCATGTACATCTAAATACATGTAGAAAGTGATTCAATCATTGTTTAAAACAGTAGTTGGCAAGTTTCTTCAGAACTAAATTTACTAACATGCTTTATAAGGATTTCATATTTAGGCCTACGTGTGAAGAAGAAAGAACACATGCCTGAGATCATCATGAGTGCTGTCCAGCAAATAAAACAATACATGTACATCAGATTACATGAACCCAAAATGCAAACTTTCATTCATTATTTGATAGTTAAAAAACATTTACACTTCTTTGTTGACAATCTGTTTAAAATACTAAAAAAAAAGTAAATGTGAAGCTCAATTTATAATTCACCACTTGCCACTGAATAATTTGAAAAATGAATTAGTAGTATCAATGTTGAATATTTGTGGAATTCCTTTATAAAGATAGGACCACTGTATGAGTAAAACACATATCAAAACACCATACATACAATATATATACTCCAGGATAATATGAAACTCAGTCTTATTCTTTTGATTTGCCCTTGTCCAAGGTTACTAATAAGGGGTGGAATTCCCTCAAAACTGGTATAACTCAGTGACAAATAGTAAACTGAATGACATATGATTAAGCTTCACATTTATTCAGTAACTGGTGAAACTACCCAGCTTCACTCAGTTTATTAGGTTGATATATTCTAGGTCACCATGTAAGTGTGTGTATTCTTTCCCATTTTAGCATAAAAGTATAACCTATATACTTTTCTTGCTAAGCAACATGACATAAAAGCCATTGTTGGAATGCATTGTTACCAAAATGCACCGGCTTTTCTATATATTAGTTGTTAAATAAGGAACTACTTCTTTTCTATGTGGTTTTTCGCAACCTTGCCTCATTAAAAAGATGTGCACATCCACATGGATAAGATAAGTAATACCCAGGTGCACACCCTCAAGGTCTACTTAGTATGGGTACAAAATTTGATAAGATTAAGTAATACCCAGATGCACACCCTCGGGGTTCACTTAGTATGGTTGCAAAATTTCAGGTTTCTAGGTTCTTTCCTCTTGGAGTTATGGCAGTTACACTTGTTTTTGATGTGGTTTTTTGCAAACTCATAAAAAGATGTACCTGCATGTTGATAAGTAATAATACCCAGGTGTACACCCTCAGGGTCCACTTATTATAGGTGCAAAATTTCCGGTTTCTAGGTTCTTTTCTCTTGGAGTTATGGTGGTTAGACACACAGACATACCGTTTTATTATTACAACAGATTCACACTTCTCCTTCACTATTGAACACCTACAAACACAAGTTTATTTTCTGGAAAATAATTTTCCAGAAATTCTTCCTGTAATTTTTTATTTACAAATAATAATTTCTTAATGAAAACTGAACATACTAGTAAAAAATGTCAATGCTAAACATTTATTTAGTACTGTTAACTAAGAAGTTCTCATTTAGATAAAGTTACAAGCAATTTGAATTGGGCAATTAATTCTTTATAACCTATCACATATGAACATATATTACGTCCATTAGAGTCAAGTAAAATAATTGATTGTTAATATTTTTTCTATTTTTAGAGCAGTTTTTGCTTTTTATTGCACTTTCAATACTTCTGAATAACCACGAGAGAAATGGATGGTTTCACTCACTAACGGTCAATACACTACTAATCTGTTTATCTCTAACATCACTTTGTGTTTCTGTTTACAGAAGTGATTCTTGAACAGTGAATCGCAATCCCCAGGGGAGTCACAAGCTGTCTGCACTCAGTCAACATTTTATTTAAATAAATAAAATTGCACTGTTTTTTCATCATTGTAGAGATAAAGCCCAGATGTAGGGGGTCATCTGGCAAATCTTGCTTCATCCTTGTTCTTACCAGATTCTTCCTAGATTCCACCCCACTAATGCTCACACTTGCAGGGTTCTCACAAGGGTCCAACAGTGCAGGGTCCCAGATTCAACTTTTTTTTTTTCAAGAGTCCAGTGAGATTTTCAAGGATCAAAAAAAAAAAAGCACTTCAGTGTCAATGAAAAACTGTATTTATAATTTATATTGCATGTTGTTTCCCTTTATGATTTTTTAACAGTGTTAAAGAAGTTAAGTGCACTTTTGTGCTCAACAAAAAACTATTATTTAAAATGTACACTACATGTTGATTACCCTCAGCAAGTGCTAAGGTAGGGCAATATGCAAGAGGATAAAACAAACAACTTTTCCAATAAACATGAAAATATCTTCTTCTGTTGTTAAGGTATCATTACTCACAAGTGACTACTTGATTTATTGTTTTCCTTTATGATTGATTATGGTCCAATTAACATGTTATTTATACACAAAGTATTGTAAGAACCTGCTTGTGTACCAACTTATAAACTTTGATATCTTACAAGTTATTTTCAAGCAAAAAATAAAAAAATACCTTAAAGATTTTAAAACTAAAACTACTTGTGGTCATTTGTCTCTAAACCATATTCATCACTCAAGGAATATGAAAATAATGTCATATAACAGAGATTTTATATTGCTTTTGGGGGATAATATTTAACTATATACGAGGTTGGTTGATATGTCTGACATCATAACCACCATAAAAAATTAGAAAATAATTCTAAATTTCCCTATTTTCTTT